GGGAAAAAAATTATTTAAACGTGAGCTATTTAACATTAAAGTATTTCAATGGAAAATTTAAAAATATTTTTACTTTGAAAAATAACACTCTTTATTGCTTGTAGGATATGTAATTATATTAACAAACATGATTGTTTGCAACAAAAAAAACTCAATCTCATCAAAACCTCAGTTATCGCCTGTGTGCGATGGCAGGGAGAGTCTATTGTCGACCTGTCGTGGGCGACTCCCTCTGCAGTGCAGTGCACTCTGCAGTGTTGTGATGGTGGGCGGCGGAGGAGGTGGTGAATCTTTCTGACCACCGACACATCGTATTCGATGTGTCTCTCCGCCGTGCTGACCGCCCATGCCAGGAAAGAGAACCTTCGCGACGATGGTCCCTCAAGCGGCTTGACCGAGAAATGGTCGTTGTCGCATCCCACGTCGCGGATTGCTTGGATTAAAGGATTTCGTCCGATCCAGAAGAACAGGCAGAAACTTCTTTCATCCTATTAAGAAAACTACAACTAAACGGTGGATGATTAACGAATGCTTGTCTATGATTTCTGAACACAGTAGTCTAAATAAATTAATTTATAGTTTCATAACAATGGTTTTAATCCGATAAATAAATTAAACTTTTATGTTTTTTTTTTAATAAAAATGTCCTTTTGATGATTATGAATCGAGGCCAAGAATTTAATAATGTTCTCTGTAAAATTAGGACTTTTTTGTGGGAATTAGTGCAATGGCAATGACTGTATCTTCTCAATCTAATCCGTATGTCTTAAAATCTCATTCATCATTTTGTATAAAAGTTTTATTAATAAAATCAGTTGCATGTATCACAAAAAAGGCACTATTTTTGTAGTCTATTTTACTACTGTATTTAATATGGTAGCCATAGTAATTGTTACGTGCATTTTTAAATATATTTTTGATACTAGCAGTGATACCTTTAAAGTGTAGAAAAACTAACGTTTAACTTCTTCTTAAATGTGTTTTTTTTAATCCGATACCGCATACATAACCTAGTAATAAATAAACGATAAGTTTTTTTAGATTTGAAAACGACTTTAGCTTTGTAACTTTCTGAAGTATTTGAAAAATAATTTAATTAAAGTGCAGGTTTACTCTAAACTTCGCCCGAGATATTATCTATTTATTTATCTTGCAATTAAATTGCAATTAAAGTATCATTTCATTTCACCTACGTAAGGTAGATAAATAGATAATTTGTACTTTTTAATATTTTGCATAATAAACAATAACACAAGAAAAAACAGTAGTCAATGCTTAGTCTTTCTCTGCATCGCTTAACTAAGTGTTATTTTTTTAAATTTAAAAGGAATCTGAACTATTTAGACTTTACATTAATGGAACAGCTTACTGTCATTAAGATGTTGTTTGATGTTTGTAGGTACAATTTTGCGGCGAATTATTAATTCAAGGACACTTTGCAGAAACGTTTTATAAGTGATTTTATAAGTGAGATTGTTGCCGCTTGTGGCAACTCAAACAGAAGCTAATCTTATTTCTAATTCGATTTTTAAATACAGATGTCTTATTTTAGATCTACAAATTTTAGGTATATGCATTACTTAATACTAGTATTTTTTTAAATTTAATTCGTCATTTTTCCTTCCAGATAAAAAATAATATCTATTAATGTAGCTTTTCTAGTTGTAAGTGCGCTTGAAAACAAGAAAGCCTCCGTGAAATAGCTTAAGAAAAGAATAAGACTAGTTAGCCAATAAAAAAAAATCTTATTGCGTTAAGTTCGCTTACTCGAAACATTTGAAAGCAGTAAGTAAATAAAGCACTAAATATGAAGTACTCTCCGAAAAATTACATTCCATTCCATTGCAGCCATAAGTGGAACCCGTCTCAAAACCGGCAAAAACGGCACCAGTATAGTTTCGGCATGTCCGTCCGTCCGTCTGTTCACACTATATCTCACAGACTATTAGTGCTAGAAACCTTCATAAACATACATACTATTCACGGTAGTAGTATTTATAACGAATTTAAAAGGAAAACTATCATGGCTAAGTAGGATGTATTAATTTACGAGTACTTCGATCAACTAACTCGACGTTATAGAGCACCGAAACCTTTAATGTGAAATGTTTATAATATGAAATAATAACGGCACCCTACATTGGGCGAAGCGCGACACGTACTTGGTCAGTTTTTATAATTAATATTCACATCCCACGTCCATAGCACTCGCAGAGAGGTTCTACTTATACTGGTTAAAAAGCAATGAATAAGCTCAACCCTAATATTTAACTTTATTCATTTATCTTGGACCATAACGAGCATTTTGTGCAATTAAAAGACTATTTTTATAACAATACAATATTGTGTACGCGGTTTTGATGATGTCAATCATTAAGTGTGTTTAATTCCTCTTAATTCTCCGAACCTTTTACTAAACTCCGTTGAAGTCGGCTTTCACTCTACTATCAGACCTCTACAACTTTAAATTCTGTAGATTTATTGTTATCTAAATTTTTTGAGTCTTCAACTACCCGTAACGCTTGCCACAGAGGTTTGCATGACAACCGTGGCTAACGGGCTCTCCGAAGCGCGGGGGATTTTTAATGTGTTAAGAGTACATCCTGGCCAGGTCAGTCTATGGATGGGTGAATAGTCACCCATATATAGTTGGACCTGGCTAGGATTGAATTGTGCTAACCTGCTGGGTTACCACTTAGCCACGGGTTTTTAATACTTATCGTTTTGTTAAATAGTCTAAAGATATAACTTTATATTTATCAATGTATTATTATAATGTACAATAATTACATTATCATCAGCATAATTAATTCACAAACAATATCTAAGAATTCCTTTTGTGTGAGAGCTAAAGAAATCGTACAAAAGTATTAGGCAGACATGGTTTATTTTATTTCTTTGAATGTCGGAGGCAAAAATAAATATGGCAAAAGATAATAACAAGATAAATTAGTTAAAAATGGGATATCTCTGTATAATAAAAATGTATGTCATATACCTATAAGGAAGTTATTGATAACATCTCAAGTGTGTGTGTATTTTCTGCAGGTTGGTGTCAATCTAGCATAAAACTTATTACCAAGAAAACTTTCGAAGTCAAAATCAAAATAACATTATTTCATAAAAAAAAAAAATTAAATCATCTTTTGTGTAGACTTTGATTTATTTATTTTTAAATCTAATATAGAAAATGTAAAATTTATATATTCCCACCCACCGGTGCCTATGTCGGACTCGAACCGACTAAATACCGCACGCCGTCTCGGGTACCAGTAGCCAGGGACCCAGGTGTACCCTAGAAAGGAAATCCCTGGTACCCCGACGTACCTCGGGCCATCCCGGCCACCCCCATGTTCGCGTTGTGCTCCTTAAAAAGCACGCGCGCTCCGTAGCGGGTCTCGCGTCCACAGCGGCTGAACGAAGAGTTTTCTATCTAAAGTCATAGATCAACTCACACAATCTGTTTTGGCTACAATCAAAACAATAGCTACAATCTGTTTTGGCTATTATTTAGCAAATATAAGTCAATTATATGCCTGTGCCGATCTACAACCGCTCGCTTCCAAGGGGTTGAGCCCTATGAGAAGAGAGGGCAAACAAAGTCACGGTCACTCTTTTTTAACTACAGCTAGAGTCTACAGTCGCATTATTAAATATAAAACTTTGATTTGGAAAGTACTGAAAGTAATAAACTTACTTTTTCAATCTTAAATATAATAAATCAATGACGTCGAACACAATGACAATGAATTAAAACGGTCGAAATTCGACTGACAAGCCGTCTTTAGTTATTTTAAAATGCGCACAACTAATTGTTTTCAACTAAGGTACTTCACAACAAAGGTTTCAACTTTCACTAAGGTAGAAATATATTGATAAACCAATTATACCATCCCACAAATCAGAAACAGTTTATTCTTCACTCTAAGGCCAAATGGAATACATCTGTGTATACTTTACTTACTTACAAACTAACCTACTCTGTGAGAGATCAGCATGTGCACTAAGATAACTGACCTCAATACGAAATTGTTTCATAGGCCACCTTGATACACTACCTAAAGACCGCCTTGAGCTGCTGAGTGCTATTTTGTGTCCGAAATAAATAAAGAAACCTTTCCTCATTTTCAATACAATACAACTACACATAGCCTACATATGTGTTCCTTTGTAACACCTTTTGTACATGACAGTGATCTGATGTGATCTTATAACCGTGTCGTATAGCCGATAAGTATGTGCTCGTGTCAGCGAGGAATTTTATCAATTGAATGTTATATCAGGTTTCTAAAGGTCTATATCCGGGGAAAACCGAATATTTTATTAATATTTTTGTTAGTCATTTTTGTACTTATTCGGATCCGTGACTTTTGTATGTCGTATCTTTGATGGTGTAATCTTTATATTGGTATTCATTACATGTAATCGTACTGTACCAAATGGATCACCTGATGGTAAGTGACTACCGTTGCCTATGGACACGTCCAAACCGAGAGACACAAGTGCGGTGCCGCCCATTGAAAATGGGGGGGGGCATTAAGAGTAATTTTGCCCCTCCTTCCTAAGGATTATTTTGGGCTTTTTTTTTACATGTGGAAACCCCCTTAGGTGGTCACTCTACAGGGGTTTGTGGTGAGGTGGTGTGTCGAAATCGGACCGATTAAAACCACAAGGTTTGCCACCCTGCGCCTGTAATAGGCCCTCCTATTACAGGCGCGGGGTGGCAAACCTTCCAACCCAAAATCCGGGAGGTGATGTTATTAAGACACCCCGGCCCCTCGTAGCGCTTGCTCAGGATAATTTTGGATCTATGTTATCCTCACTTACTCTGTGAAAAATAGCGAATGCATAACACCGGGTTTCCGTGAGGCCGCGTGATCACTCCTATGTAATGGTCCATATGTGACGAAGCGTGTTTCACCCTCGCTTAAGTCTTCCTTTAACATGTTCATAATTTAAAGTCCTATTGATGTATATTAACCGTGCTATTTTGTCCACAGCTGAACAAATCTCCAGATTGCGAGCTTCACAATCTCCCATAGCCATCTCATTAAGTCGCTGTCCAAAATGGTCATCATTAGATCCGCTACAGTTCAAGGGCTACTGGGACAACGAGGTTATGGGTATTCTTTTGAACAATGGATCAACAGGTCAGTAGAATATAATTATATTAAAATATCAAACCTTAAAAATTAGAAAGGAGCATAATAAATCAATAAATTATTACATGTACCTTTGCAGTACTCTCCGATAAACTGCATTCAACTAAAGATACTCACAACTTGTGCAATAATATTAAGCAAATATGTTGACGCGCCCGTCGGCTTTATTTTAACACTTCAATAACGACGACCCAGAACCACGGTCCACGACCAGAACCACGGAGAACCACGGTCTGTTGGCCTAGTGGTTAGTGACCTTGACTGCTAAGTCGAAGGTCGTGGATTCAATTATAACCCAGGACAAATAATTCTATGATAAGCTGTATCATTCGTTCTATGCCTGAGTTTAATTCATCTTTAATTTGAATGTATTTACTCCTAGAAAAATATAAGTATGTTTATCAGCAGCCTTTTTATCCATAGCATAGGCTGTGTATAATTTGGGATCAGACTGCCGTGTGTGAGATGTGTCTCTTACTGAAATGGGTCACTATTTCTGATTAATGATGCATGCAATGTAAACTGTAAAATTAATAAAAAAAGGACGTAAACTATTGCTATCGCAAAGTGTGCGATCAGAGATGAATCGGCAAATGTAATGTAAAAATACCAAATCATTAGTTACCAGCTATAGTTTAATCTCTTTCTGTATCTCTGTATTGCTTATTTCGTGTTGGTTTGAGTGGACTCGATTCAAACACATTCACAGTCCGTACAATTTACTTTATTTCGTTTTACTGACACGCTTACTTCCGTTACTGCATCACAATACTATTAGATGAGTTGTATTTCCCTTCTGTATAGTAATCCTCGTAGATTATTAGTAGTCATTCAAATAAAATGAATTACAGAAACCGAAAGATGTTTTTCATACACCTATTCAAAATCTCTTAACAATTTTCATTCATATTATTATAATTGACTCTCGCAAATTTGAAAATAATCATTTAACGTAGGATTTACATACATTAGACACGACATTTTGTCTGTACAGCGCCATATAGAAGAAAACACATTACCCACTTTTGCGTCGCGCAGTCGGGTTAATTTGATGTGGTGAAACTTATCAATTAGATAAGCTTTAGGTGGGTGGGTAGGCATTCCTATCTAATTTTCTGCACAGCAGACAAGTCAACATTATCGTCATGATTTATGGTATCAAAAATTAAGTGATAAGGGCCATTGTTACAATATTTACTTTATGTAATATTGATAATATAGTGTATTTTGGACTGTTACAATTTTACAAATCAGTAAAGTTATTTACCATCGCACTGCTTAACTTTTACACACGCTATTATGCTCTTTTATCATTATCTGTTCGAAGAAATCAAGTGACTAGATTAGTAAACATACACCAAAATCGATAAAATCAGCAAATACATACATAGTACATTTTCTCGATATCTGACTAGAATTTGATGAAAAACATTTATTAGGCTGCTTATATACACAACTTAAATTTATTTACAGCCATAGCTTACCAGTTTGTTTGCTTGTATTCGTGATGAGGTTAAGGAAGGCTAACTTTCTCTACCCTGATTCTGGAAGGAAGTCACGAAAAGGCTCTGAACTTATTTGTGACTTTTGAGTTACAGTTGAAAGTAATCCGAATGTTTAAGATTTGTATCGTTTACATAGTATAAATGAATGCACACATATACACAAGCTTACACATCATTACACACACATCACATCAACAGCCTTTAATAGTCCACTGCTGGAAATAGGCCTCTTCTTAGACAGGTTTTGGCTACTAACAAGCTTACACCCACGAACACAACCACACGGGACACTTCTAATTTAAGCATTTACTTCACTTGGTGAAAGGTGTTACAAGTATTGACAATATACGGCTATTGCTGAATTGCGTTTCAAGTTGTTTTTAAAAATTAAGATATTAGTAAGTACATCAAATATTAATGAAAATCTTGACACGTTTCTTCGTCAAGGCTCGAACATGAGAAAACGTTAATGGCTCTAAACAACAATTGTTGTCGTCACTTCGTCAAGTTTAATAATATTTTCAATGGAAATTTTGAAACCGAACAGCACTATGGCATTATGTGTATCGCTAAGCAAAAATATTAATGGATTTCCTTACGCGACACATACAAAAAAAACATGACGAAAAATACGACTGAGAAGGACGTGTTTTTTACAAGTTTAGGTTTGTACCTAAATTTGTAAAAAAACACTTACGATCGAGTGAACTGACCTGAGTTAATCTTCAGTCACTCCTTTACCTACCTTGCGTTTAAGAAAATCAATAAATAACATACATATACTCACACCTCATTGCCGTTCAGAGTAGGCAGAGACGGGGATAGAACGTATTTTGCCACGATACTGTTACGAGTATATGTACAGTTAGCGCTCTTCCACCTCCATCAGATATTTCATACACACGGGCCGATTATACGATCTTTTAACGATACATTTTCTTCTCGTCGCTCTTCGCTCATTCTTTGATCATGACTAAACCATCGCAGGATACTTCGTTAACTTTTGACTACATTATCTTTCAACCCACCCCGCTTTCTTACCTCAACATTTCTGACCGTATCCATAAATATTTCGCTCTATATACTTCTCAGGAATTACATAAACAAAGTATCAACGTTCTAGAGTTCTGATCGTTTCCTAGTTTATAGCAATTTTAGACTACTTTAACCAAAAAAATTATAATAACATGAGAAAGGCGCCAATAATTTTGCAAAATCTTCTATTATGTTCAACATCTATTTTTTTTAAGATCTAATTTTCTATGTACATAATTGACAAATTGGTTTGTCGCACCTGTAATATCGTTTATTTATTTATTTATTTATTTGGACAACCAACAAGAACATACACCTTAAAAGCAAGAGATACAATGAAAATGAGATACAACTATTAGTGCTGCCTTAATTACAGGTTGCCACGGAAAGCATAGTAATAACAGAGAGTTGGGAGCGTAAGGCTTCCCCTAACTTAAAAAAGAAGAGAAGAAAGAAAGACCTGAACAGGCACTTTCTTACAGAATAACTACTTAAAAAATCTACAACATAAAACAAACAAAGGTCCTTATACATAAAATATATCTCAGCTTAACAACAATAGTTTCTTTTTAAAAGAAGGTAAACTTAATCTAAACACATCGATATCCTTATTTTTACTTATTGAATTATATTCTGCCTGGAGCCTAAATAGGCTCCAGGCAGAATATCTATCCAGATCCAAATCCAATCCATATCTAGATCCAAAACTAACCTTGGCCTTTTCTCTTCTTTAAATAAAGAAGAGAAAAGGCCAAGGTTAGTTTTGGATCGCTTAGGTGTGAACAAGGAGTATCTGGACAGTCGTGGAAGTTTATGGGTGATAGTGAAGTTAAGTTTTTGTAGCAGACTAGGACAATTGATATTACCGTTAACTAGCTTGTGAAGAAAAGATAGATCTAAAATTTTTCGCCGCTTTTTTAATGATGTTAAGTTGAAATGAGTTAGTCGGTTTGTGTAACTAGTAAGCTTCTTTGACAAGTTAAATTTATATGCCAGGTGGTACATAAATCTTTTTTGCACGCGTTCAATTTTATTGGAATGAACCTCATAATGCGGATGCCATACCACAGAACAGTATTCCATAAGAGACCGGACCAGACTTTCGTATAATCTAATAACAGTAGCTTTATTTCTGAAGTGCTTACTGTTTCTTATTATAAAACCGAGTGTTTTGAGTGATTTAGAGACAATGTGATCGTAATGTTCCTTAAAATTTAGTTGTTTATCAAGAATAACACCAAGGTCCCGAACACTTTCGACTTCTTGAATACGTTGGTCTGATATTGTATAAGCCCCGGACAATACAGTGTTACGGTTACGAGTAAAGCGAATATAACAGCATTTGTCAATATTCAAAACCATTTTGTTATCTTTGCACCAGCAAACCAATCTGTTTAGATCATCTTGCAATAACGTTTTGTCTTCAAGATCTCTGATTGGTCTCATTAACTTAAGATCGTCCGCGTAGAGGTATGGTGTGCTGCTTTTGAGGCATGAAGTGACGTCGTTCATGAACACATTAAAGAATATAGGTCCTAAATGAGAACCTTGAGGAACACCAGATAAGTTATAAAACAGGTCTGATTCATATCCGCTGACAACCACTTTTGATGTTCGGTCACGCAAGTATGATGAGCACCATCTATAGAAGGCACCAGCAAAACCGAACTGCGATAATTTATGTAATAAGATACTATGAGGCACTTTATCAAAAGCTTTCGAAAGGTCTGTATAAATGACGTCCACTGGAGTACGACTATCCAAAGAACGAGATATATCATCAAAGAAATCCACAAGGTTGGTGCATGTCGATCGACCAGACACGAATCCATGTTGAGAGTCTGCCAGAACGCTTTTAATATGCCACGATACGCAGGGACATAATAAAGATTCCAATAACTTGGCGAAAACAGACAATATTGTAATAGGCCTATAATTTTTGACATTGCCTTTATCGCCGGCTTTATGAATTGGTACAATAAGGCCTAACTTCCAAGATGAAGGAAAGGTGCCCGAGGCAAGCGACTCATTGAAAATAAGCGTGAGCGGCAGTGACAGTTGCAGGGCACAGTTGACAGCGAAAACGGCAGGTATCCCATCTGCGCCAGCTCCTTTCTGTCTGTCAAGTGATTTCAGGCTCTGCAAAACTTGGTCTTCCGAGAAAAATATAGAACACAATGATCGTTGTTCGTAATTCGTTTTTAATCTCTTTAGCTGTGAAAGATGAGCGCTCTCCACTACAATTGGTAACCATTAAGCTATGCGCCGGCTTTATCACTTAGAGCAATTTCTTCCAGGTAATCTTTGGATGAACTCGTTCTCCCCCTCCTCCATAATCATTTTGAACTGGCGGTAGGTGGTAACCTATAAAGTATATGATAGTGTGAGGTATATATTATATTATATTACAAGTTTCTTCTAATTTATCAGGCTTGAGATACTCAAATACGCTGATTCCTTTACTAAGTTCTTTAGATATTTAAAGAAGCTTTAAATAAAAACATTCTGATTTGAGTTCATATGCATGCATTGAGAGATGCAGAACGAAAATTAAAATGATTGTCAATTTCTTGATTTGTTACCAAACAATTTTGAAAATGTACATTTATAATGTATCGAGCATTATTATGGATATTTGAAAAGTCGTTTTATTTTAGGGATAAACGTATCTACACGAAATTTTTCAACTGTAGAGTCCTTGAACAATCCTTCAAAAAAGTATCACCTGTGCTGCAAATTCTTTGGATTTTTTCTTGAGCAGTTTTTGCATAAGTCATTGATAAAATGTTTTGTTGTAAGTCCGTGGTGAGAGTAAGTCTGTGAGCAAGCTTGTTTGTTTTATAATTCACAAAAAACATTTAAAATTTCCGTTAGATGTGTTTAATTTTTCTATTTTTTTACTACCCCTATGGAAGCTAAGCAAATAAATCGCTCTATATATTCGCTTTTGGGGCCCCCGTGACGATAGGCGTAAGCTCAAATCAAATCAAATCAAAGTTTATTTGCTATTGAATGTAGGCACATCAAATTACAGATGGAATAGTTTTCATTGAACCGTGTACATTCTGCCTTATAATTAAGCATGCAAAAATCTATAAAATTAGGGTCGATACAAATTAAATTAAATCTGGAATGGATAAGTACAAGAAAAAAAAGAAAAAAAAAACGAAACAATTAATATTTTAGATGTCAATGGTCCGGTCCACAAACTAATCATCAATATATGTATGTTAGTGCTTCAGAATTACCAAATTACAAGTCATAAGAATTATAAATTGTGATTACAAATTTGTATCTATTAAAAAATCATTGATGTGTAGTAACATTTGTCCATAAGCAAGGCTTTTAATTATTTTTTTTAAATTTCCCATTACATCATTTTTTAAATCATAAGGCAATTTGTTATATATAATGGGTGCCCCTATGGTAAAGACAGTACTGCTAATCAGTACGCTAAAAAAAAATACCCATCGGAAGATGATGGAGGAGCTCGCAATTCAATAGTAAAAACCGCTTTCGCTGACTTCATCGCCTCCTGGCCAGCAGATTTCTGCAGAAAAGGGATAAAGATTTTGAAATTAAAATAGCAAAATTGTATAGATAATTTGGGCCGGAACTTGATCAGCTATAATAATAAAACCGCACAAGTGCTAGTTAGAATCGCCCATCGAGGGTTCCGTACAAATTTGTAGGTACATATTATAAAAAATATTAAGGTACATATCATCAAAAACTTTTTTTATTTACTTAAATGTCAAATTTGACCCAGATTTGTAAGTGGTGACTGAAAAAGGATGAATAGTATCGCATTGTACATCAAAGCCCTTGAAGCCCTTTCATACGATACCCTTCATGACACGGGTAACTCAATTTAAAATTAGGATCGCCGTTCCTTTCATAAAGACCTTGTTTTTCTATGATTTAATTACAAATGTATAGTTTTTAGATTTTCCCTATACTTGTAATATAAGACGGCATTCCTTGCCAAATTTCATAGTTCTAGGTCAACGGAAAATACGAAGATAATACGAATAAGAAACCTCATTAAAGTTGTCGATATAAATACTGCCTTAACATCGTACCACGGATATGCATCGTCAACTCTTCGTTACGGTGTTATACTGTGGGGTAACTCCACCAATGCAGACTCCGTATTCAGAGTACAAAAACGGTGTTTCCTGCCTAAAGCAAACAGATTCATGCAAACCTTTATTCAGAAAGCTAAATATTCTGACTTTACCTTGTTTATATGTATACGAAACAGCTATATTTATTACGAGTAAGTGTCTACATTTATTTGAACATCGTACAAGGCAGCGTCATGTAAACAAATTATGCATTAGACCTTCTAATATAGGTATAAGGGGGCAAACGAGCAGACGGGTCACCTGATAGTAAGCTAAGGTAAAGTAAAGTGACTACCCCCGCCCATCGACACCCGCAACACAAAAGTCCCAAGTGCGTTGGCGCCCTTGGAGTCCCTCCCGCTCTAGTCAGCGGGAGGGGGGATTTGGGCTCGGGTAAATTAAATTGAATGGAATTGAATGTCAGAAACACGAAATTTCATACACTCACTTCTGGTTACAAATAAATAGACACATGACAAAAAATTTAGTAGGCGAAACATGATAATTCACGTAAAGATAATAAAAGCAAAAGTAGAGACGTTTTCCAATGACAATATTAAATTTCCTTTTCCATACGTCATTCTACGAATGCATTATTTGTTGAACCTAAACAAGAAGGTGCTCATTATTATACGTAAAATTGATTAGAATTACTTTATAAGTTCATTTAACTCACTATTACTACCGTTTACTTTAACCAAATCTTCCTTTTCTTTACTTCCAGCATACTTTACATTTGAATCTGAAGTAAAACCGATACTGCGCGGCGGACCTCTACTCGGCGAGTATATCTTCGAACAGATGCATTTCCACTGGTCAGTCGACAACTTCTCCGGGTGTGAACACTTATTAGATGGACAAGGGTAAGTATTTTTTATTGTAATAACCAAAATTATGCGATATCAATGAAAAAAAAGCCATACTCATCGCTTTGTAAACTCGGATTATTCAAATTCTGAATTAGAGACATATTTTTAGATATATAAGAAATATTTTTGTGTAAGTAAATAGAAATCGCATCTTTGGAAGGAGTAGCCTAAAGTTTCGCTACGCCATATCAGTGACAGTGACAGAGGTCAGGAGTAGTTGAAAACGGCGCGTATATCATAGCGTATATCAAAGTCGTGTATCATAATCGGTGTTTGATAACGTTTTAAGAAGGTTAAAAGATATAAAGGTGTCGAAGTGAATCAAACATTCTTACTTGTAACAAACGTAGGTCTTTTTATTGGCTAAATGTTGTATGATACCCATGACTAACCACAAAACTATCAAAAGTTTAAAACATCAGGATATAGCTAGCCTCGTCATTTTGTTTTTATTTATTTCTAATTTCAAATCGTCAGGTATGCTGCAGAATGCCACTTCGTCCATTACAACAGTAAATACGAATCAATGGAAGCAGCCGTAGGTCATTCAGATGGTCTTGCTGTAGTGGGTTTTCTTTTAGAAGCAGTCGATGCACCAAACCCAAGATTTGACAAACTGGTTCAAGGGCTAGAAGTTATTAAAAAGAGCGAACATTCTGTAAGAGTAACATCAGGTTTGTATAATTTCACATCATCATCATCAACAGCGTATACTAGTCCACTGCTGGGCATAGGCCTCTCCTTAAAAAGGAGGTTTTGGCCTACTATACAACGCTGACCAGACGGTTTGGTATAAGGTTTGTTTAAAGTTTTCCTTCTCTCTGCAGTGCTTTTGTCTTGCGTAGTTTGCTTCCTCAGTCGCCTCTTACGACATCCGCGGAATGAATAAGGATGGAGATACTCTGTATTCTTAAATTTATTGGTAATTAAAACTGGCATTAAAATATTTCCAAAATTATTACCAAGCATATGAATACTCCTAAAGTAAGTTTTTCCGTTATCGGGAAAAAGTAAAATATTTGTTTTAACGTTAAAAATCCAAGAACATTTTTACAATCTATATGTCCACATAATACACCATGAGAACGGAAAAGTGCCTTAAAGTGCGTTAAATACTATAATTAGGATGGAATATCAGTGGAAGGTCTCCGATGTGACATTGGAAAAAATCCCGTTCACCTTGGATACATTTGTCCTAAAAATAGTTTCGCCATGAAGTGTGATAGATTCCATCTAGGTCGTCATTTTAGGGATTCTTAGAATAATTTAAAAAAAAATCTTTTTTATTACTCTTCCACTAACTGTGACACATTAAAAGATAGATCAAAAAAAGACTCCGCAGAGTATTATATTGTAGATTATGGTACAATATGACTTCAGACCGTCACTGTTGTACAAAATTACTTAAAAGATACGACGCCGAACTTAAAGATCGTCTATTGCTTCAAGGTAGAGAGAGAGATAGATATATATTATATCAACTGTTAAAAAATTGGGGCTCTTTATAAAACAGTAACGCGCTAACGGTAATCCGCTAAAAGCCTAATTTGAATTTTATCTTCCTACAGAATCCCTTGCGTGGATGGAGAGCGATGATCTACAAGAAGGCAATTACGTCACATACAAAGGGTCGTTAACCACACCACCGTACACCGAATGCGTTACTTGGATTATATATGAGAAGCCTATTCAAGTAGGGAATGAGCAGGTATGACAAATATATCTATTAAAACTTTTAAAGACTTATTTATTCCAATATTATATTGGAATAAATAAGAGTACACACATACATAAACATTTATTTCTTTCTTTTATACTCACACCACGTCAATTTACTGTTACACAAAGTTCTTTATATTTTCGTTACATGTTATCTAAAATCTAATACTAATAAAATACGATTTTAGGTATATTCCCAGTAGTACCATGTAGCTAGTTCCGAATTATACTGATGTATTCTTGAAATATACTTTTTTTTTGTCCCATTTGATCTATTCAATGTCATACTACTTTCACAGCTGACATTTATGAAATTAAAATTATTTCATTTTTTCTTTTAATTATAAATTTAAAAAATAATAACAATAATATTTTTACACATCTCACACACGGCCGTCTGATCCCAAAATAGGCGGATCCTGAGCTATGGTCGCCAGACTGCTGATAAACATACTTATATATTTATAAAAACATACATATAATACATAAATACACCCAGACCCAGAACAAATGACCAAGCTCATCACACAATTATTTGTCCTGGGAGTCAAACTCATCTCACTCTAGCGTAGTAGTCAGGATCAATAACCTCTAGACCTTTAGGCCAGTCATTTTTTAAAATTCCATCAATGATCTAAGAAATTCAATTTCAAAACCAAGTGAAAAAAAATTGATATTAATAATTGGGTAGTGTCGATAACTGTAATTTTTACAGTACGAAAACTTCACGATGAAAATAATTTTGAAGCATGCGAATGAACGTCCCGAAAAAGACGGAAAGAGCGTTACTCTCTATCTGTGTAGTCACGTTAACCTACTACCCTGATGTCATTTAAACCAATTTAGTAAATTGAGGAAATGTCGTTTTATTACATCCACTTTGTACTTTGCAAAGGGCACAAATTGTAATTTTGTGTTAACTTTATTATTTGAGAGGGTATTTTAAAAAACAAGATAGCGCACTATGTTTAATAAAAGAAAGGAATAAAATGGAAACAATTCCCTCCTTTGTCACTTTGAAAATTGATATCCTAACCCGTGACATTTAGTAAGGCTTCATATATGTCCTTCATGCTTGCATATATGTCAAACAGCTCTGTAATTGCTTTCGTGTATCAAGCGTATCACTCTGCCAGCTCCAGCGGATTAATACCACGACTTCGCAGGATCCCGGTATCAAGGTCTACATATTTTTGCAGAACTTAGCGTTAGAGCATTAATTCAACTCTTTCTTAACTTTTATTTAACCACTGTATACATTCTACAAATCACTTACTTATTTACAAAATTGTCCACAGCTCGGATTGCTGAGAGAACTGCAGGGCCCAGACAGTATTCCTATCGAGCGTAACGTAAGGCCGACACAGAGGCACCCCCCTGGTCATTCCGTGATATACGTGAAACAAGTCCACGAGGCTAAAAACCTGAAGTCGAAGCTTTGATATGCCAATATATTATTATAATGCTCCAATTATGTTGTTTTATTTAAAAGCGAGTTTCAAAAGAAGGAACATTACTTTTTTATTGAAACTAGTTTCCAAACTTAATTTCGTGAGCCGTCGAAGGGGTTTTGATATAGTGGACACTTTGATTCAGTGGACTTTATGTGACAAAAGGGTTTTGGCCTTTTTATTGCAGTGCTATTGTCCTGCGTAGTCTACTCCGTTAGGCCGTTATAAAGTAATAAAGATTTTTCTTTAAACTTTGATATTAATATTTAAACTCTACATTTAATTTATTTTTTTCCAACTGCTAAAAGAACGTCGAGAACACAAATAAAAGCTATAGATTTATAATAATACACTTTGTAGGTAGTGTTGTTTACTTTGCGAATACATTACTTTATATTAAGCACATACTACACTGCAATATATTTATTTATTTAGAAGTTTATAGTAGAAAAATGACAAAATATAACATATTAAATATAGAAAATGACTAGAATAAAACCTAACCTAACTTTGACAAAAATCAAACTCGATCCATTTATTTGAGTCTAAACTAGACAACACTCCTGCACATAACTCTATGGTAGTCACAAGATGATCATAAGCATGTATATAGAAAATATTATGAATTTTTTGCTCCGTAAGTGGATCTATGAGAATCTCAACACTTTGCAGAGCATCTGTACTTTGTTCTGTGTCAGATGTTTTTATGAAATTATTGCGTATGCGTTCATATTCTATATCTAAATTATTTGCAAACTGACACCATAAGTTGTTCATGGCACGATATTTATCCTTTATTAATTGATCCCCTTCATACCATGGTTTTAAGCATTCACTGTGACTCTTTTTTAACACATCAAAGTATTTCATTCTGTCATCAAATCGTTTCTCCATCATGATCTTTCTCCAGTTACTTATAGAAAGATCCCAAGTTTGACCAGGCGCCATTTCCTTTTCATACATTTCCTTCATATGCGTTACTTCTGTTTGATGATAAAAACAAACAGGATTCTTCATGACGAACAGTTGTCCTTCAATGAAATATTTCTTGTACGGATAAATTTGTGGTACAATTGCAAATACTCTATCAAATGCTTCATCGACAAATTCATTGCATAAAGCATAAAGAGTTTTATTGCGAATGCGACATTTAAGAAGTTCAACTTGCCTCGTCATACTCTCTGCGTTCTCTACTGAATCAGCATACAAATCTATAGTGAATTTTTCAGAGGTAGTAGTAAAGAAATTAACGTTAAAAAAACACAGTTCCCAGAATTCATTATATATACCGGGTCTATCACTTATAAATGTAAAACATATGTATTTACTTTGGCCTGGTGATAACACATCTTCGTTCTTGTTGAAGAAAAAGACTTGCTCGGGCACATCAGTTGGTATAAATTGTATTTGTCGCTTTATCTTTTTCCAACAATATCTTAACGTTACCGTACCAAGGTTCTGTAAAAATAGTTTGCCCCTGCCGACTCTTTTTGCTGGCGCATTAAAATAATAAGTCCACGATAAGCATTCTTCATGCCCGCTTTGATTTTTTAATTTAGACAAATGAATCAGACTTAGCTCATGGGGCTCTTTATAAAAAATAGAGTTATTTATTTTTACAGCATAAACCCCACTTATTGAAACCATTGCTTCACTGGTTGGTTCATCAACAGATATTTTAGGTGGTTTTGGGATTTTAGGAGGCGGAGTTTTAGGTTTATGACCACATATCATCAATTGACTGATTGAAGGTCTGTAAAAATATGAAATATTGCTTTAAATTTAATATTCTGACAGTTTGGATAGCGTGTACTACGAAAAAAATTAAAGAAAATTTGCATAAAGAATTACTGAGATTTAGATTCAGAGTAATTGAAGTTATTAAAAATTAACTCAAAAATGCACAAAAACAATTGGTTTTCATTTTGTAATGTCCAGTTGATCGTAAAGTCATAAGGTCAAGTTATATGATTTCATAACTTCTTCTTAATTTATTTTTATTGAAATAACAATGGGAAGAAAACAATTTATAACTCAACCTAAAACTATCGATTCTAATGTGTATTGTTTTCAAAGACCATAAGAGATAAAAAATTACTCGATTTTATTGCATAGAACAGTTTTATTGACAATGAAATCAAAGTTTAAAAAGAAAAGAAATAATTTTTCCAGATATGTTTGTCAATACATTAAGGACATCAAGAAAAAAGTTATAAGATACGTTAAGGCAACTGCGTGCATGGTGGCTATAATAGAGCTTCTCTTGAAAGACAGGAGTTGGTGATAAATTTTGTTTATGGTATCCCACTATCGCTGACAAAAAATAGGAGCTAAGTCTTTGAGAGTAGACATAGCACTATCAAAAACATGAAGCAAAAGCAATCAAGTAGAGAAAGCTCCATGGCTCAATACTAAAGAAATCATGATAAAAAGGATAAAATGTTCAAGGTTTACAAGAAATATGAATAGAGATTGTATGGCGGATGATATAAAAGAATAGTTCGTTCGAGGCCAATGTTTTAAGAAAAAAAATAATGGAGCCTCTTTGGCCAACGGAAACCCATCGCTGAAGCTAAGTTTATTGACTTAAAAAGAAGCCTATACCTGATTCCGAAGATTCACATGGTTTTATGTAAAATTTGTTTAGTCTAGGTTTCTCGTGACAGCCTGATGTTGAAGTTGAATTAAATTTTGATTAACTAATTTTATTTCAATAAATATTTTTGTCGACGAAATGTATAAGTTAATTACTTACGACGAAAGATTTAAATTTTGTTTTATTTTTCAAATAAAATATGTATTAAAATGAGTTTTTTTCTTTATTTTTACTGCTAAATCATGCTGAGGTAGTAAATTTATAAGAGACCAACCGACACATAGTTTTGTTGAAAAGAACCATTATGTTTTTTTCTTTAATTGTTAGATAATATTACATCATTTTCAATAAAATTATAGTTATATATATATATATATATATATATATATATATAGAAGAAAGTATTTTATGTAATATTGCCAATGAAGTTTTTCCAAAATAGCATACAATTTTACTGTATAATTTTTTTCGAAAAAAACGGCTTTATGTTTGTTGATTTCGTTTTGCATCAGTAGATCCAATCTACAACTTATTTTGATACTCATAGTCTCTCTTAATTCCTAACAATCTATGACGTGAATATAGATGGAGGCACAGTGAATTACGGTGTTATTTTTGTTATTTTTATTGATGGTTATTTTTACTCCTGATGAAGAGGAATGAAGAAAATCAAAAGAAGAAAAAATACAAAATTACACAGTTTTAGAGTTGAATAGGAATAAATTAAAATAATTATATATGACAATATTAGAAATCCGTTGAAGATATTGAAGTGATAGAATTTTTGTGTATCGCTGATATAAAAGAATAATAATAAAAACTAATCTCACAAGTTTTAATTTGAGTATCGGCTTATACTGATACATGGCTAAATCAACAGGTGTTTTTTTTTTAATCTTTATTTTTATTTTATTAATACCTACTAGCACCCGACAGACGTTGTCTGTTGGGTCTTCTAGTAGGTAGGTAGGTCTGTTATATCCGAAAATTTCAATTATTTTATGTAATCTAAACCATTCTAGAATCCACTTGAATACACGGGATGGATGAACATTAGGAGGAGTTCAGTCACATACATATGCACAGAAGAATGATGTAATATAAAGATACACAACGAACAGTAACGACTTACTTGAATGGGTCAATTTTTTTTATATTTTGTTTGAGATCCTTTTCTCGTTTTTCTCTGTACTTTTTATATTCTGCGTCTAATTGTTGACAATTGACGCGATGTGGTTCACCACTCATGCCCAACTCTGTCTTCTGTATGTAGGTAGGAACATTAACATGTTCAATAATTCGTGGGTGACCTAACTCGGCTCGTGTTCTATGAACTTCGTAAACCGGGGCACAATAACAGCATTGTTTTAATTTCGGCGGACGTTCAAACAAAGACCCCCTAATAGTAGCAGGTTTTTTCTGTATTTGGGCATATTCTAAGGCGGTTTTTCTTTCTATGTCTTCTCGAACTTTCTCTGGTAAGTTCATAGCTAGATCCACTGGGGCCCTGTGGAGTTTCTTTCCAAGCTTCGTAGTTTCTTCTTTTCTTATTTGTATCCATTTTTCCCACACTAATAGCTCAGGGTCTGGAGATATCTCTGATAAAATATCTTTTGTATCTGTCAAGGGTCTTAACGGTTGATTTTCTTTGCATTTTTCCATGCTATCTTGATGTGTTATACAAATATTTTAATAAGGAAGTGTCAAAAAAGATCAAGAAACTACTTTATTAAAATTGATTACCAAAGAGGTCACCAACGATATCAACCTTCATAATTAAAATAAAGATTATCTATTATAAAAATTGACAAATTTATCGGCAAAATAGAAATGAAATAACCATCACCATCTTTACCGCCATTTGTATCGATAGCATGTTATTTAAGAACATATTTTTTTTTTTTTTATATTTATATAATGTATGAGTGTTTGTACAGACACGTATACATTACAAGTAAATATATATATAAGTTTTTTTATGGTACAGGGGCAAGCGAGCTGGTCATGGTACACGGTGACTTAACTAACACTGCATAATATATAATGATCAGATACCTTCCAGGTAATAAACATTTACTAATTTCTTTAAAAAATGCAATGATTGTTCGCGTCTTATAGTCAGTGGTATGGCATTCCACAACCGAGTCGCGTTAACACAAAAAAAAATATTCCAAGAACTCTCACTATTTTTAACCTTGGGTTTTCTGACAGTCTCAAAGGTCTCGAATGTGTTGCATGGGAAATTAAATTATTAACTTAATTTTAAGTTAATTTGGAAGTAATGGTTTAAATAGGATAATAAACAATAGTTAATGAAAATCGTTTCGCAAAAGTTGAGTATTTTTCAAAAATCAGAAACACGGTTGTATTTTTCAAAATATAAAACTATGGCAAAAAAAATTTGGCATTTCTCAAACTTGTTAAATTGGTCTTCTGTAAAATCTAAATAGTTGGCCTCAGCATATTCAGGTATGGGGAAAAGAATGAAATGAGGAAGCACGATCTTGGTGGTCTGCAGTCTGCGCAAGGACCCAGCTGCGGCGAAATTAGACAGACAGATCTTACGATTGAGGAATCCGCTATGAACATCCAGATATATTTATACCTAGATATTAAAATGTTAATATCTAGGTAAGAGTTTCTGTTGCAAGGTATTCGGGGCTCTTAATGGACGAAGAGCTACGGTTTTCAGAACATAGCTACGGTCTTATATGGTATTCGAGATCTTCTCTCTGAGCACGTAGGGATGTAAGGAAGTTACTGTCAGATCTGTTGGTTCTCTCATCTTTCAACTATTGCGATGTCGAATATGGACTCCGGCTTCTTAAAAATACCAAAAAACAACGTGTCCAAAACGCCTGTATAGGCTTTTGTTACAAAGTTCCTAAATGGTCGCACATTTCCCTTATTATAAACGAAAAGAGGAGAGGAGAGGCTTATGTCCAGCAGTGGACTATTAAAGGCTGTTGATGATGATGATGATGATGATGAAACGAAAAGAGATAACTGAATATGCAATCGCGACGACAACAACATCTGTTATATATCACTCATAAGATAATCACAAGCAAATGTCCACTATATATATACGATATTGAATATTACTCTTGAATATTACCCTTCCCCACTGCTCATACTTATTATTTTAAAAAATACCCATTTTTTAACACCTTTGGTATGATCACGAAAAAATTATTTAAATGTTTTATGAATAAGTTCTGTATTTTTTTTTTGTAAATGGGAGTCAAGGGTTTAAGCTGAAAACCAGCGCTTGGTAATCCATGTGAAGTCCAAACATAAGCTGACGCTTAGACCTTTTGCTGAAATCTTTCTGAAATCAATAAACTGGTATTCTATTCTATACATATGTGTAAGGAATGTGTGTGCCAGGTAGAGTGACTCAAGTCCAGTCAATTGTGGACATCATCTCGAAACTGCCAAACATAATGAACTTGAACTTACTTTGTTTTTTTTTATAATAGGAAAACTACCACAAACATTACACATGTTATATTATGCATCTTAAAATTGCGGGATCCAACGAACAATGGGAGTTACGTACGCATAACTATTAAAATTGTACATAAAACACCCAAAATGTTTGATGCAATTACTGGCGACAATTATAATGATGGATACATACAACGGAAAGAAATAAACGTCATTAATTTACGCAACTATTTCATACATTTGTTTTTGAATGTAAATTTCGTATCGTGAAACATGAATATGACAAGCGTAATTTAACTAACTATATTTGGGTTCACCCATATTTGCCGTACAATAGTAACAAAGTGTGTGTTACCATTAAAATACATGTTGTCATTATAATAGCTAAACGTAAATGTTGAATAATATGCGATATGGAGTTTTTTTTTTTATGAAACTTACAATCACATCAACAGTCCACTGCTGGACATAAGCCTCTCCTTAGAAATGAGGTTTTGGCCTACTATACCACTTGGGTTGGTATAGGGTTCGTGTCAAGTTTGCAGTCTGCAGTGCTGTGGTTCTGCGGAGTTTTGTCCCTTAGTCGGCTCTTACAACACAACACATTAGGGGTGTTGACACTCGGTATTCTTAATCCGTCACCACGCGGACCAATAATGAAACTTACAATGAGTTAGATAAAATCGAATTATACATCTATATATAACTAAAAATATATTTTTATACCATCTAACGAAGACATACTGAACTAGAAGAAAGATAATGAAAAAAACTCACCTCGAAAAGTTTATATACAACACGCCCAACACGTTTGGCCACGGTCCGCGAGGAACGATCACTTTGTCTGGAGATGTAGTTTTACTCACCTCGATATTATATGGAGAAACTCAACTAGTTTCAGACCAACTGTGGTGCTTTATTAAAGGGCAACCCGACCTGTCGCATCAGAAAAACAACAACGTACAGAGTTGGTTAGTAAAAGAGTCCCTGTAAATAAACGAAAAGCATAAAGCATATCCAGAACACTCACATGATCCAAAACGGATCACGTAAATTTTTTATTGATTCCATTTATCCCAACCTAATAACCAATCGGCATTATAATACCAGTCATATAAGTTTTTATTTTAATATTTTGTCTTTGCCTATGCTAAGCAATTGACGTTCACGACATGCTATGCCATCTATATTATGACATCTTCATATGCCAATTAGATATCAACGTCAAAATGCACTCATGCAGTCAACGTAACATATAAATATTTCAGTAAAATGTCTTCATTATTTCTATATTTTCTTTAATAATGATATCCTAAATTAGCGGAATGTCGTCAAATTTTACAAGTTCATATTTTTAAGTGTTAAATATGAAGCCAGGTGTGTACACACATTTTGTAGAACTCATTATGACTGTAAACAAGTTTCTACAGTTAATTTCTGTTTTCGTGGTAACTGTTGTTTGCTTTTGTTCAAAAAGTTGTTGATATTGTTTCGATATACGCGATATTAGCTTTCCATTAAAATTTTACTAATAAATTATTAACCTATGATTCTCACGTAACTTATAATAATAAGTCAATAATACGTAAAGTGCAAGACTTATCAGTGGGGTAGTTCATAGGTCTACCGCGTTGGGAGTTCTGCGCTCGATTCTCGCTCAATGTATGTAGGCAACATAAAAATATTTATCGAACAAGCTGTGCTTCCGCTGAGTCTATACATCATTGTGTAGCATATTCATAAATATAACTATAATATAATTTTAGTGAAATCAGCAGACCAGAATTGCGTGCCAACCGAGGAAGAATTAGAAGAAGCGCCGAAGTTTGGATCATTAGAATGGATACATTTTTGGAGCACTTATGAAGGCCATCTTCCAACTCCTATAGATATATCCATTACAGGGTCTTTACGTTATATTTGCCCTGAATTAAAATGGTACAACTTTGACGTTTATCCCCATAAAGTAAAGATGACAAATACTGGATTCACAGGTGAGCATTTCCTAAGAGTTTAATGTAACTGAATAGTGAAGGCATCATTAAATTCTCGAAATTAAGCAATTATGCCAACATATATATATATATATTTCCCGCAGCTTTGTACAAGTTGGACCCACTCAGGGACCCACTCTTAAAAGGTTGCAGTGTAATGTTAAATAACCATCATACGAAAGGTTAGGTCTAAGAAGGCCACTCGGTGGGGCCCTTCTTTGGTCACCGATAGTTTCTTCACTGTCCAAAGTCGAGGAACGGCGACGGGTTCGGTGTGCACTTACTCTGCCACCGAGGGGGTTGTTGGTTGCTGCTTCAGGTTGTTGTGATTGGGGACTGTGCCTCCTTGCCGCCGTTTGCACATAGTAATCCCGGCAGGAGTGTGCATTCTCTATCGTATATATCATGGAGAGTACTCCGAGGAATTGTTCGAATTAATACCGGCCACAACCTTCCTTCATCGTTCCACACGGCAAAATTTTCATCCCCACCACTTGGATAGTTGGCGCTCCGCCACTGTAGGCTTTTCAAGGCATTTTTTGCCTCGCACTACCAATCTGTGGAACAAGTTATCGACTACGGTATTTCCGGACCGATACGATCAAAACTTCAAGAAAAGAGCGTACTCCTTCCTTAAAGGCTGGCAACGCGCTCATGACTCCTGAGTTGCAGGCGTTCATGGGCGGCGGTAATCGCTTTCCATCAGTTGACCCATCTGCTCGTTTGCCCCCTATTCCATAAAAAAAAACGCTTGTCCGGGTATTGGGGATCTGTGCCGGGGTCGACCTTTATTTCTCCCTCACTCGTGGGATTAGAATCTAGTAAAATTAATTAAGAAACAAAGAACGAATGAATGAAGGAGAAGAAGAATAGGAAGGAGAAAAGTGCAATGGCGGACGACTCCCGTCCAATGAAGAGGAAGGGTTGCTCGAGTCGCCTATCGCAACACGAAAAACATCGGAACGTCTGCGTTCCATATCCACCTTTTCGTCGGACGGTAACTCCAGTACGAGGACAGACGTACTGGAGATTATGGAAATAGAGCCATGTGACAACCGGAAACACGGATGCTCCAGGGATGAGGAGAGCGTCACGTCCCAAAAGATTATGCCTCCCAAAGTTGCAAGCAGCCGTAGAGGGAGGTCACGAACGCCCGTCTCGTCTCGCCATCAGGCTCAGCCTATAGATGAGTCAAGGCGGACGGTGAAATCGTAGCAGAAGAGGAGATTGCAGATCACCTGTCGAAATTAAGGAGCTAGTGGTAGAGGGTTCTGTCCTCCAAACACCCCCGTTCATGAAGGAGAAAGTAAAAGCGGCAGTGGCTATCATCCATAAGGTGGCCACCAAGTTAGGTAACATTAAGGGTTCTTTTGTGAGGGCCCTTAAGAACTTATTTACCGCTGTTGCTGGGGTCTTTGAGACCCTTATTGAAGACGTGGCTCGTCTCCAGGCGCCTAAAGACCGGGCAATTTCAGGCGGATCGCCTTAAGCGAGAGGGGCCGGTTCCGTCGCAGTTTGCCCCTACTCCCAGTGTCAATAACATCCCTGATGCCCAACTGCGACAAATTACTGACGCAGTGTGGCGTATGCTGAACCGGCGTCTCGCCGGCCTGAAGGCGAGGCTGCCACCAACCCCTGTTGTTCGGCCGCCGCTCGCAGCAGATAGGCACCAAGTCGCATCAGCACCGACTCCATTTCCCGTTGCGGGTGATCTCGTGCCCTATGCGGGAGTGGAGGCGGCGGCTATTTCTGCTTCTGCTCCGAGGGCAAAACAGGCGGCCAAGACAGCAGCCAAGCCGGCTGCACCGAGAGCGGGGCCTAAATCGGCGGCAAAGGATAGAGTGGAATTCCCCAATTCACCGGAGGCGGCTAACGGCGGGCTGGCCTACGCGACATTCTTTAAAAAGGCTCGGGACAGTCTTGCACACGGTTTCGGGGCTGTAGGTGTTAGAGTGCGCCTCGCCCAGACAGAAGCTCGAGTCCTCGAGTTGGATGTGTTTCTCCCAATCTAGAGATTGGTACAAACACATCCATTCGTTTCTTCTGTCATACCTATTTCTACCGACTAAGAAGTCAGTAAGAATAGGATTGAGTAGAATCCTATGGCGCAACAATAATAATAATAATTTCGGACATCTGACACACAACTCCATCTTGTTTCAAACTAAACAGAACTTGTACTGTGAAAGCTAGATTGACTGATAGAATACTTTTATACTTTTTTTTCGTCAATACATACCTACATAATATACATTGAAAACACCCAAACTCCGATACAAATATTTGCAAATCATACAAACAATAGATGATAATATCAAATTATTGAACAGTAAAAAATTATGAATTGGAAAAAATTGAAGTATTTTTTAACATATATCTAAAAAAATATTTGTCTATTGAAAGTCAGTTCAGCCTTTTCTATGTAACCATTTTGGTCTCTTTTATATTTAATTGGAAATCTTTAACTAAGTCTTTAGCATCTATAAACCTAGAAAATATCCAATGAGTACAAACACGACAGAGATAACATCCTGGATACCATATAAGTCAATAGCAGGGGTTAAAGTAAATATAATGAGTTCAAACACGTATGAGTTACTACGCTACACGATAATACGCTGACAATCAAGTTAACTAAGCTGAAGATGTAATAATTTACATAATCTGACTTATGTGCATCGTACCGTTTAATCTGTCCAAACAAGATGGACACTACAATAGAACAGATTTTTGATTTGATGATTTAATTATATTCATTACATATAGAACAACATCACCAGTGCCTAATTTTCCATACAGGATTCAATTCCGACTTGGAATACTTAAAATATAAAGAACGTTCACTATTGAGTGTTTGGTCGTGTTTTGCTTTTGCCCGTGGCTCCGCCTGCGTGTATGTCAGTTATCGCAGTAAAAAGCCTATGTCTTTCCTCAAGAATCAAAGTATGTCCATACCAAATTTCATTTAAATTGGTTCATCAGTTATTGATTTATCCACACAAACTTCCACCCCCTTTGGGATAATTCCCGTACTTTTAAACATGTTGAAACATGTTGAACTGTAGTCCTAAGAGCGAATTAGACGAGTGTTCATTTTTAGCTATAATAATTGCCGAAAAAATCCTTAGTGCTCGATACCGTCGATACAGTTCTATAACTTTTAAGTGACTTTGGCATGACACAACAAGCCGGAATCAAAATCAAAGTTTTTTTTATTTGCAAACTTGCATTTTTTCGGACATGATACCTTAATAAAATAAACTTTAAAATATTATCTAAATATAAATTTATCTAAAAATATTATCTAAATATAAATTTATCTAAAATATTATCTAAATATATTTTTTTCCGAGAAATATGTAAGTAGGTAATATATTTATAATCTCACACACGGCCATCACACAATGCTCGTCCTGGGTGGGATTCGAACCCACGAACTTTGGCTTAGCAGTCAGGATATACCATTTAAATATATATTACAAAAAATACTTACTGAAAATACTTTACTATGTGATGATATCCCAAATCTAACCATTTTTAAGACTGGACTTTGAAATTTTTTATTAAAATCGCCGAAATTTTGCCGAACACATTTTTTTTTTACTTATATCATTGATTTTATGTATTTTTACTGGGTTTGTGTAGTTGATAAATTGTTTTATAATTTCATTTATAATTTCCTTTCGACTCAGAATGCTGGTCTGGAAACACTATTTCAGTATTCGTTACGATGCCTCTTACACCATATACAGGTAAAATATAAAAAAATGATCGTTGAAAGTTATTAGATGGTTTATTTACCAGTAGTCATCGGTGCAAAATGGAGAACAGAACGACCCTATCTAGAAGGTGGACCATTTCTAGAAAAGCATATTCTGTCTCAAATACATTTTCATTGGGGAGCTGACATGATGGAAGGCAGCGATCACACGGTTGATAAAAGAAGACACCCTGCTGAAATGCAAGTTAGTGATTTCAACTATTTCCATATTTTCAATAACGATATTATAATTTATATAGGAGTATATACATCATCATCATCATCATCATCTGCCTACCCTTGTCCCAATTTTATTTGGGGTCGGCGTAGTAATTAAGATGTTTCTCTATCATTCGTCATCTCACTGTTTACTCCCTTCCTAGCCATATCCTCACTTACACAGTCCATCCACCTTCTCTTTTTTCTTCCTCTTCTCTTGTACCTTTCAACTCCCATACCTTACACATTCTTCGCCACATGTTCCTTATTCCTCCGCATAACATGTCCATACCAAGATATCCTATTACTTCTGAACTTTTCATCCAGTAACACTATTTTTAGACTTCCTTATTAAGAATACTCAGTGTCACCACCCCAATTCAACCCGTGGGTGTTGTAAGAGCCGACTAAGGACGCTAAACAACGCAGCAGACCAGCACTGCAAAAAGATGTAAAACTTGACATAAACCCTATACCGACTCGTCTGGCCAGCGTGGTATAGTAGGCTAAAACCTCCTTTCTAAGGAGAGGCCTATGTCCAAGAGTTTACTATTAAAGGCTGTTGATGTGATGATGATGTGAACAAACACATTGGGAAATGAAGTAGGTATATAAATATTCCAGTTGTTAATTTATAAACAATTTTAATCATTTTATTGTTAATAGGGAATATGCATGTATTTTTTTTATTTTTTTAAACGATTCTACTAGTTATTACATTACCAATAATAAGTATAACACATCCGAAATATAAACCGTCAAGCAAAAAAATTTTTATTAAAATCACTATTATTTTGGGGCAATTTGAACACGTCCATTTTTGCGCGCTTTTTTGTGACGTCAGATTACACTTTCAGACGAATTCGATGTCAACAACGGAGTGAAGTTCACAAAGTTTGTGAAAGTTAAAAAAAGTGAGTGATAAAAATTAACTTATTACCATGGAAAAGCCAATAAAAACTTATTATAAATATTGTGCCGTTCCTTTGTGCCCAAATAATATCAAAACTGCACCTGACAAAGTATATTCAGTCATTGTGTTGAGTCTTTCTACACGGGAATTTAATAATTTAACACTGAAAACGTATTAGTTATTAACTTAAAATGAAACAAATAATCACCAGAAACCAAATATTACAAATACACACAACTTGTTGACACTCTTGACAGTGTAGGTTGACGTCACGTTTTATTCAACCAATAGCGTTGCGTTTTAGAAATTTGCGAGGGAATCTTAAAAAAGCCAATTTTTGATGATTAAATTTCACTATTAAATTATAATAAATTTCAAAAATAATTGTATGGGTATCTTTTTTTAGCAATAAAAATTACAAATAAAAATATTTTGTCCATTTTGGTGTCACGTGCATATTCCCTATTGAATTTCTAGTCTCATCACGATGAGGAGAAACTGTTACCCTCCGAGATAATTCTAACAGCAGTTTATAATTATGCGTGCTCTGCTATAGAATTGCTTATGGAGTGCGTGCTATGAAGTAGTTATGTATTTTATTATGTACGGTCTCTAATATAAACGTATTATTTGTCAAATTTATGTACTAAAAAACTTAATTTGTATGTCACATTTAGCATTATATTACGAAATCTTCTTCTTTATTCATTCTTCAATTCAAAAAGACAACTTCCTCCCTCGGAATATATCCTGCGACGCAGGGGGCCTTTGCAAATATTAATGAAACAGACATAATGCTCACCCAGACAATAACTTGTAGATCACACAAAGTATTGTCCCGTGTAAGAACCGAACTCAGCGCAGTAGGAAGCGGCGTCGCGACCGCTTAAACCATACGCCATGCTTGGAGTCGGGTACACATGCCAAATTGAATAATCTGAGGTTTAACATATTCTTTTCATTTGCCCCAATCTGTGGGAGTGATTTGGGCCAGAGAAGCAAACGCTATTTGATTTGATCAAGATGACAGATGTTACTCACCATAATAATATGGGACTACTGAAGGCTTACTCTCATATTTTTTTATTTAAAATATTATTTCTTTGAATATCTTTAGTGCGAAACTTAATTTATGAACATGGTCTGAATAAATGTCGATCCTAATTATTATTCGGGCTATTTTTTTTTAATTTGTCTACTGAGTTAGAACTAAATTCTTGTTGGTATGATAAAGGACGGCACACATCATTACAAAGTGTGTTCCCGACCTCAAGAAGGCCGACATAAAAAAAAAGGACCCTCCCAATTCTACTGAATATTCTTTATGTGTAGATATTGTGATATCTACGCCAACGTTTTATAATATAGAGACCCAACGAACAGACAGGTCGCCTGATGAAAAATGACTACCGCCGTCCATGGACGCTTCCAACTCAAGAGTTACAGGTGCATTGAATTAATGAACTGGTTTTAATAAAGAAATAAAAATTGATTTGATCCTACTCAAGGGTGATGAAAGATTGAAAGAAAAAGAAAAGAGTTTATTACAATATTTGTTTATTCAGCGGCACTGAAGTCGGTTGCACTTTTTTTTTAAAGTAATATCATCAAGTGTGTTCTGAATAAACGTTGGATAAATGTAAGTTCATTACGGATAACTTGTTAAGAAGAACCCACCCGAGATGAATCGAGACATAAGGAAATCGAATTAATAATTCGAGTCGAACAATTACTACTTTTTGTCGCGTAATAATTTTATTTCATTTCAAAAACGGAAAGAACGTCATACTCGTATTCACTGATGAGGATTCACAATTATTATTACTACATATTGTAATAAATTTATACGTTTTCTCTCTGTTCCATTCACAGGGATATTTTTGTAGGTACCTACATAAATACAATTTTTCTTCATGCAGGTCAAAAATATATTTCAATAGATTTTGTATTTGAGCATCAAAATGCTTGATTCGGTCTTGTTTCGTATTAAAATTGAATTAGGTTTGAAAAGTGCTGTCAGATTATAAGATAAGGTCTATCAAAGCGAACTTTAAATTGGTTTCTGACATTAAAATTTCTGACAGAATTGTTTTAAAATGAGTATTATTTAACATTAAAAACATAAGATTTATGTCTTCCTTACATTTTATGAAAAGATTGGTTTCTTTCAATAAGTCTTTAAAAAAAATTGAAGCGAAGAAATCAAAAGGATCAACACGATTCTTCTGATTTCTTTCACACCTACGATGTATTCTTTATTAAAAAAAAACCCTTTATATTGTTGACTAGCTGTACCTTGTCATGCTTCGCTTTGGCACATTGTACTTGATAAAAAATTTCTACGTTTATAATAAATTTTAAGGATGTAGGACTACTTCAGAAATATTCCTAAAATGACTAAAAATCTTACAGGTCACATTCTTCCGTTCAGAATATTTGACTCAAGAAGAGGCTTTTAAGCATCCTGACGGAGTAGTCATGATTTGCTACCTAATAAAGGTACTTATTATTGCTTATTATTGGGAAGGTAACGTAACTACTCAAAAGGGACTGGTGGAAGTATGTCTTAAATGTTATGTATAGTAGGCTTATGCCTTAGAAATATTTACCACGAAAAACAAAATGTAAGTACACGGCAAACGAAATATCTGGTCAGATTTGCATGTATACGTTATTCGCATAGTATATTATTATTCGTTTACATGTGTGAATTGCAAATAACTTATTTTTCACGCAAAAATTTACAAATTATAATTGTTTCAAAAGCATTCTCCGTTAAGTCCGATATTAGTTTCAATTTCTCTGGATAAAACCACATGTCATCATAGGTATCCATACACTGATTACTTACACTTAACTTAACTGAAGTTAAGAATGCTCACAAGCATAAAGTCCTGATTAATAGTGACCTTTCTTATGAGTTTATAGACGTTCCAAAGAGTACATGCATCGTTCGTTTGCAGATTGCAAACCATATTTACTTTTATTATGAACAGTACCACCTTTTCCAATCCGCTGGTCATTGCTTTTTATAAACAAAATCATCCCAAACCCAATGACGGCAGTAAAGCTAAACATAAACCACAAAGAGTTGAGCTGAAGTTATAAGGTATGTTTAGCTTTAAAATATTAAAAAAATTAAAACCTCGGGACAAAAATTTAACAGCATATTAAAGTGATTGCACAGCAATAGCGGGCACGATAGACTTTTATTCTGTAATGGACGTTGGTATCATGTCTCTTCTCGAGAAACCTTCGTTTAAATATTACTAAGTAATAATGTAGTATTATATTAGTTTCTAGTGACCTGCGTGATTTTATAAATACGTATGCTTCCAGTATGGTGTTAACAGTGATGCAAGGTTAAGCTGGGTTCTTGAAGGATTTCCGAGAATTAGGGAGCCGCACACAAACACCCGTATTGGTCCTTATCCTATGTCACACTTGTTGCCGATGTTTTACGAAGACTATTTTCTTTATTGGGGCAGACTAGATACCAGTAAAGGTGAAACATTTGTGTTAAGATGGTTAGTTCCCCGAACAAACTTGTTTGCATCGTTTGAACAGGTACGTAATACCGTAATTTTACCGGTTATTAAATTTTTTCCCGTGTGTACTCTTGCTTTGCTGCAATATTTGGAAGTGTGTGCGTTACTAGGGATGGAAGCGTGTTACAGGAAGCTTGGGAAGCGCGTGGTATTTGATTTGAGAAATGAGAAAGTGCGCTGTTAGTTAACAGTCAGACGGTAGGTAAGATGTAGGATGTTACATTTCATATGGTACTATTATAACGCGAAACAAAAATGGGGGACGTTTTTTAAATTCTAATTAATAGAAGACGGAGAAACGGTTTGAAATCTTTACAGTTTTATAAAGTACCAGTGACCCGCTACGGCTTCGCACGGGTGCAGTGTAGGTACTAGTGTGATGTCAATGTGGAGTAATCATTAATCAATAATATTGCCCACCGGCCGCAGCCACCGCAAGGGACGGACGTATGACCCAACGGCCGCTCTGCCCTTTTTTTTTTCCTGTGCGGAACTCCCCTCGGAAACCACCCACCAGTGGGTGATTATGTCGGACTCGAACCGACCAAAAACCGCACGCCGTCTCCAGGTACCAGTAGCCGGGGAACCAGGTGTACCCTAGAAATGAAAGCCCTAGTACCCCGACGTACCTCAGGCCATTTACGGCTTATAGATGACCCCTCCTGTGTGGGAACCCGGATGTTCCCTTCCTGCTTCCTGCATTACCCACCCCGGCCTGCTTCTGCTAGAGTGACAGATGGCCTCACCTGTCACCCTCAGGCCGCTCTGCCCTGGCATTTTAAATCTCTGATAACTTCTAAGATATTCATTTTAAGGATTTGCAATAGGGCAATTTTAATCTAAATTAAATGCACAATAATGTATCTAACGTATTTAGTTGGATAAGGAATACTACTGTATTCTTTAAAAGAGTTTCGTATAGAACCCATTTTTTTTTGTAATATATAAACGATAAAAATGGTTACTGTTGGTTATCCAGGAGATAAACATATTCAATTGCAGACTTTTTTGTAGGTATTTTTACGATATTTAATGCCATAGTATATTACTCTATTTGCAATGTACGCGCACCAAAATATGTTTTTACGACATCAAATTACGAATAAAATTGCTCCTTCTTTAGTGTGGTTACTGCAATTTTAGTGAACTTATGATCTGGTGTGCGGTAAATTTAAATAATATTTAAAATGATCTTGCAGATGATGGCCTTCCGCAAAATATGGGATGCTTGGGATGAACCCCTCTTACGAAACTTTAGGCCCCTCCAACCACGAAGAAATCGACATGTTTTCTTTATAAGCCCTCACTGGAGTCAGTATAACTCTTTACTACCCATACCTAGAGTACCAGAAGAATCCATCTCGATTTTATCGCCTGAATATCAAACGAAGCTTTGGATGTTGCCTCCACAAAATGCCTACATGTTACCACAAGAAGAAAAACAAGTAGAAGAAACTGCTGATAAAAATGAAGAGCTGGATTAACAAAGTTGAAAGTATTTCATATGATAGTATATTACAGGTGTTCACCACTAAATATGGATCCTTTTAAATTATTTCCATAAATTAAAAAAAAAGCAATGAAAATTAAATAAGGCTCTAAAAATAAAAACACAATACTGAATCATGACTTTTTCAATGTTGCCCGTTTTGAAAATCTAATAGATTTGTAAATAAGAAGTTAAAAAAACATGTTGAAGTGATTATTTTTTATATGTTCAACTTAGACTAAAATCAATAAAAAATTCTTAGGTCTATCTTAGTAATTTTTTAGTTAAATACTACTATTATATATTAAATAAAGTAAATACCTAATCATTTTTTACCTACGTTCCATTAAATAATAAAATAAATGTATACATACAGTCAAATTTTGTTACTGCTGCTATTATAATTAATTATAAACTAATGGGGAATATTGATTAAATACGATGAGATAGGTGTCTAAAAACTACCATTGTTAGGAATGTAGTAATGTTATAAGTCAGCCACTACATTAAACACTATCTAATTATAATAGCTGTAACTCAACACTTATTATACTTTTATATGTTTTTTCTTATTTTCTATATACCAAGTTAATGCAGAATCTCATACTATGATATAAATATTTAAACACAAAGTATTTTAAAACAATCTTGGTAAACTGAACTGACTTAAATTATGACAAATGTCATTGATGACACTGGTTGTCAAATTTCAGTACAGTAAAAACTAAAAACACAACAACCTACAAAATCTGGGAGTAGTAGTCAGCCGCGTTCAGAAAATGATAAAGAATTTTATCCGTACCAGCCGATGGCTGACACGGAGACAAATCGATATTATAAGCCAAGTAGCTTTACGCCGTTACTCCTACGTATCTTCAAGAAACACTAGCAGAAATATAATTGAGCGACGATTTGCTTTAAGTTCATCTAGTACTCAAGTTTGTGACATCGAGCCCGCTGTTTTTGAGGAAATCTGTAGCGAAACGCTTGAATCTCTTTGTGATTACTTTGAAGAAATTGTAGAATCTGATCCAAATTTAAAGGGGGCTGATATTACATATACTGTAAGTATGATCAAAATGTCGTAACAAATAATTTAAGTATTTAAGATCCAACTACAATGTTAAATTATTTTCTAATCTATGCAATATAAATTATAAGTTATGAGACATCTTCATAGGTTACACTGTCAAGTTGTTGCAGGTTGCAGTTTGAAATTCAAATAATATTTTTTATTAATGGCTTTAAGTTGTTTTTCCTCTTTAACCATTTCTGACTTTTTTATGGCACACTGGCTTTAAAGCACCTTTTAAGGCTTTAAGGCACTTACAGATCATGGGTGATTGCATAATGTACAATCCCAGGTTAATACTTTGGCACTGCATTAACAAACCATTAGAATGTAATGAAAATAATTTTAAAACATTTCCATTTTACATTTCCTTCTGCCTCTCAACGGTATCTGTGTGGTGTGTTCCCCGACTTTAGTTAAATATTAAGTTTGTTCAGTTTGCAGTGTCAACTAAGGTTCTGTAGTACTGCTCTGATTTTGTGTCTTCTGGTCTAGAAAATATAAAGGTCCCAAAAAACATTGTTACACATCTCACATGCCAACATTTGTGGGTTACATAACATGTGGAAAAAATCTTGAAAAAAATGTGAAAACATTGTTTTGATTCTTTAGTTGAATAGTATGAATGTCTTAATAAAAATTTTATATAAATATACTTGTATGTATGTGTGTATGTATATAATAATGTTTTATAATATATAAAATTTTCAGACGTCTAACACACAACACCATCTTTTTTTTTTTTTCTTTTTTTTTTTTGTTTAGTTTCAGCTAATATTGATCTAATTCAACATAATCCTAAAGGAAACATTAAAACAATAAATCAAATTATTTTTTGATAATAACTATAAATTAATAAATCATATTCTATAACCATAATAAAATAACCATCTGGTTTCAAACTAAGCAGAGCTTGTACTATGAAAGCTAGATTGACTGACAGAATACTTATATACTTTTCTTGTACACACTTGTTCTTGTAAACACATACATATTAGGATAGAAAACACCCAAACTCCAAAACAAATATTTGCAGAGCATCCAAACAATCGGTCTGACCTAGGAATCAAACCCGAGACCTAAGAACAGCAGTCGCATATATACCACTGCACCACTGAGGCAGCCATATCTAAGTGTATTATGATGTGTTGTATTGTATGTGTGTATATGTTTGTAGTGCACCGTATATGTTTTCATTGAACACTTAATATTATGTGTTTGTGTATGTGTGCAGCTACCTTACAAGATTTCTACACCACCCAAAGGTTGACTGGAAGAGAAGCCTTGGTCATTAAGTCCACCGATGTACAAAAGTGCATAAACTTTTTTTTTTAATGTACAAGTGTTGAAATATAGGTAGACCATTTAAAATAAATCAAGTGCGTTTCTTGGTTTTCACCGTTTACTTAGAGATGTTTGAATAAAAAATCTAACTACTCTAAACAGAAAATAAGAATGTTTTAACTTGAATAAGGTTCTGTAAATCATGATAACCTATTCTTATAGTAAATATAGTATTTTTTCTTCCATTACCCATACTTAAACATACTTTAAAATCCAAAATTATTATTATATGATAGTAAATATTAAAAAAGCTAGGCTTATGTAATTCTAGGTTTTAGAACACAAAATACTAAGAAAATAAAAGCTTTTAATACACAGATAATAAAAATTTATGTCTGCTTTTTTCAGGATGGTGTTCTTACAGTTGCCTTTGGAGGAAATTATGGAACCTATGTAATAAATAGACAAACTCCCAACAAGCAAATCTGGCTCAGCTCACCGGTCTCAGGGCCTAAACGCTATGATCTGATCCTTAAAGACGGTGGATACTGGCTCTATAAACATGACGGAGTGTCTTTGCATCAACTGTTACAAAATGAAATTTCTAAAATAGTCAAAAATAAAGTAGAATTTAGTAATTGCACACATAGTTTAGTTTGAATATTATTTCTTGTTATTTGGTTTAGTAAAAAAGGTTTTGTGTTAAAGTTTTGTTTCTTTTTTATTATAAACATGGAGGTCATTGAAGATGGAAATATTATGGACCGAATTCCGATTTTGTTGCAAAGAGATCTGGAGTACTACCAGGTACATTTAATATTTCTAAATCCATAAGTCTTTAACAGATAAAATCTTTTTTGAGGTATGATAAAAGTAGACACTCCGTGTCTCTGGAATTTTAATATCTGTGAAATGGAATTGGTGTAGTATATTTTTGGTGAATGCTTACCAATTGATATGTTTCAGAAAAACCAAACAGTGTTATCAGAAACAGTATGTAAGGGTGTAGTAGGTGGAAGATTGGATTTTCCAAGAAATGCATCCTTTGCAGCTGTGAAAATTGTGTTATGGCTTGAAGAAGAGTTTTCTATTGCATTCAAGTAAATAATTGATAATTATAATAGATTATTACTTAATGTAGTACAAAAATATTCTTTAATTAATATTTTAAAGCCTGGGAGTTTATTGGCTAGTTTATCTTGTAGAATAGAAACAGAAAATTGAAAAAAAATAGAAAATAATTATTAGGTATGGTAATACAGATTCCTACCAAAGCAGAGCTGTCTAACTTGAGCTTGTTATTGTTGCCACTATTGAAATTGCGCACAGTCTAAACGAAAGTCAGCACTATTGGTATGCTACAGAACCGAAAGTAAATTGTTACCACCACTGGTGTGGGTATATTAAAGTAAAGGGTATATTATTACTACCATTGGTGTTGCATACAGCTCAGAGTTGATGGATGTTGCCACCTTATAAAACTATTTTTACTTTTTCAACATTTAGTATAGGCCTATTACTTAGGTCTTGTTAAAAAAGCTAAAAATTTACAGACATGGTTCTGGAATGTTTGTCCACACCAATGAAGATGAAAAAAGTGATACTGGTGTAGCTAAAACTTCAGATCCTGATAAATTTGTTCAGCTTGCAATAAAATCTAGTGACTCTTTGAGAGGTAAGTAATGTAAATAAGTAAAACGCCTAATTAAAGTAAATAGCAATAGTTATATAAAAAAAATCAGGCGTTTCGTTGAAGAAAATGCTATAGCATTTAGCACTCACTGGCATACTTATTTATATTATTGATTGTGTACGAAGGTTAAAAATATTTTAGATCACATATTTTAAATGCCAATTATTATAATTGACTTTGATGACCTTTCCAATCTTAAGACACACACGGCATTCCAGACTCTTCGGACACTTTTTTTAAAATTAAAAACTAGGCACTAATGGCCGTCTTATTCTAAATTAGGTAGAACCTGTGCTATGGTAATCAAACCGCTGATAAACATATTTACATATTGCTAAGCATTACATATTATATAAAAATAAATGACGCCCAAATAGAACAAATGATCGTGCTGATCACATCGGGGTGGGTATCGAACCCAAAACCTGAAGATCTTAAAAGCCCTGCAATCCCAATCCCCTTTCTCCATCCGGACTTGCGCTCTCTATTCCTTATCCTCTCTTAAGGCCAGCGCAGACGAAAATAAACTTTAAAACTATTCCAATAAAGTGCATACATTTTTGCACATGAAATAAAATGGATACACGCGAGCCTCGGGCTATGTGTATGTACTTTATACTAATACTTAGTTGTAAAGTTTAATTTCGAGTGTCTAAAAAAATCTTCTGCGCTGCGCTATTGGCCTGCGCTGGATCTTCTGAGAACGATTATATTTTCAAAGAGAGTTTCGGTCAGGCAAGCTGTTGTCCTTAAAAGAATCCAGCCAAATCCCTTTCCAATACTACATACTGAATAAGATTAGGGAAAGCAAGGAAGATAAGGGAAAGGCAATTTTGTTTGTCCGTGCTGTGTCTACCTGTAAATGTATTATTTAGGATACGCTTATTAGAGCTTAATAATTTTATGCTATAAAAATGAAGAATTAACCTATCGAGCTATACTCAAGACAAAAAAGAAGAAGGTCGACAATATTGTTTTTTATTTGTTACTATGTTCATCCTATTTATTTGTGCTCACATGCTACTTTCAAGCGAATATAGCCGCAGTGGTTTCCTTTTGCCTTCTGCACCAGGTGAGTGGTTATCCCACCACACCTTGGTCGCCACTGCCTTGTCAATTCTATAGCAGGGAGCACCATGCGCAGGATAGGTTGACATTTGGGGTTCGCATATCGATAGTGTTACTGAGATACCTAAAATGATTGCGAAGCGGCAAAATTAAAGTTCTTATTTATTATTAACTAGTAATCTGTACTTATAATACATTGTATTATGTGCATAAAATGTTTTTACTTGTGCATATAATTGTAATGTTGGGGCTGCCAATTCAACCAGTATTAAAGGGACTTAGGTCAGGATATATTCTTCTCACGAGAATCGTTTATGTGGGAACCTTAAAATTTCAGAACATCTTCACATGCTAGCGCAAGAAGCTCTTGACCACGCAGATTTGCCAGTGTTGACCGCTACTCTAGGAGCAGCCGCCTTATTGAAGAACAGTCTGTACTGTTATGTGACGCATATTGAGGATAGCGGCAACTCCGAAAGATATTCTTTACTTCAGGTAATATAAGGACCCTTTTTGATATAGGAGGCCAGAGAGTAGACGGGTCACCTGATGGTAAGTGACTACCGACGCGTATGGATATATGAAACTCAAGAGACTGTACAGATAGCAGAGTGGTTTAAGCGGTCACCTCGCCACTTTCAACTGCGTTAAACGTTGTGGGTTCGATCACCACATGGGATATCACTTTGTGTGATCCACAAATTCTTGTCTGAGTCTGGGTATCCATTGTGACCGTTTCATGTATGGTTGTAAAGTCCCCACGGGGTCATATTCCTATTGCTATTCCTATTACTGAAGCCCTTTGAGTGCCTACTTCCCCCAGAATTGGGATGGGGGTTGGGGTTAAGGTTGAACTGTAGCCTCATTCACTTCACTTAAAACGCAACAAAAGAATCGCTTAACAGTTAATACCAGTTTTCTGTAAGGTATTCAATTAGTATTGACAAACAACACAGACGGGAGTTAGGCTGTAACATAATGGATATCTAAGTTTTTGAAAAATGACAAGGGTTAATTAATTATATAGTTATAACTATAAGCTTTCTCACGTGTAGTAATTATGCACATAGTCTACTTTATATCAGCATACCAGACATACATTGCACTCTCACACTTTTCATCCCTGAAGGGGTAGACACCTGTGTACTAAACGCGCACATTTTGAGGACTATAAACTTCAGTGGCACTTAAGTGAGCGTTTGTATACTTTATACACATAGTCTACTTTATATCAGCATACCAGACATACATTGCACTCTCACACTTTTCATCCCTGAAGGGGTAGACACCTGTGTACTTAACGCACACATTTTGACGACTATAAACTTTAGTGGCACTTAAGTGAGCGTGTTATATAATAAATATAATTTATTCATCACTTCAATCACTTTGTTCTACAGATTTCTCTTATTTTAAATATGGTAATACAAATTTAATAAAACCCAATACATTCTTGAATATATAAGAGTTCGTCGTTGACGACCGTACTAATGTAAATTGTGTTACAGTCGTCAGCGGCTTCCTTCCTTCCACCCTGGGTAATTAGTTTCATAATTATAATAATCAATTACTAACAATTCATAAATGCAATAAGTTGTATAGAAATTAAATTATAAAGTTAAACGTTACAGCAAAGTATAAAGTTATTAAATTGTATAGAAAACTATAAAAAAAAAGAATAATCATAACAAAATAAATGAGTATGAAATAATTACAAACATTCAATTATTCACTTAAATATAAATATAATCAATTTATTTAATATATTTAATAATATATCTATCTAATTTATATTATCAAGGTATACACAATAAATAGAAATTATACAGAACACAATTATAGACATTTATTAAAGAGTTGCATGTTATTTATAATCTTATACAGGGGGGCAAACAAGCAGCTCATACACACCTTTTTTCCTTTTTTTTTCCGTGCGGAAATCCCCTCGGATAGCTCATACACACCTGCTACTCATGAGTCACAGTGCGTCGTCGGCCTTTAACATGAGAATTACTTAAAACCAGTGCCTTGGAATCACTCCGGTCAACCCGGCCGATTTCTGCCGAAGATACTTAAATACTTTATATTTATTTTCAATAATATGCAGCGGATGTTATATTAAATTATTCATATAATATTTGTAGAATTGCTACAAACGATACACAACAATGTCGGAAGCTGTAGGCGAACGAGTATTAGATTTGCACAACAGAGTTCTATCGTTATATATCTTACAAGATTCCGGTGGGCGGCCTATAGACGGCAAGGCTAAGACAGTACACGAATCTGGTACGCCATCAGTGCAAGGATGGTGGCTTTATATGAATGGTGAGTCTTAAAGGGGATTCGATAAATGTTTTGGTCTAAATATTAAATCAGTAATGAACCAAGAAAGATTTTTCCCATCGTCAGGAAGATTAAGCCCGTAAAATGTTGTATTTGATTACCTACCTAGACAAAAATATTTTTGATGATTATCCATGAACAGCCGATATACAGTCCGTTGTGTAGATTTGAGTGTATAGGTATATACCAACGGTTTGAAATTATAAGAATCATACTAAATTATGCTCATTTAGTTTCATACATAAGTTGTTGGTTGAGTAGCTTACTTTCCTTACACCACAAATAGTTATAACTAGGAGAATGGTAGTAATGGATTATAGTCATCTACGCTCTTATCTTTCCCCCTAGCCTTTGTGTCCCAAACTAAGTTGGGGTTGGTTTTAACTCTACTGCAATATGGTTAATCAATCAATTGATTTTTTAAACGAAGCGACTGCGATGTCGAAGTTCTGTAGAAAGACACCAACTACCCGTAACGATTATCTAAGATCGATTTTGCTTCGATCGCGGTTGCCATACGATCGATCGTATGGCAACCGCGATCGATCGCGACCGACGGCTTAACGTGCTCTCCGGGGCACGGAGAGCACGTTAAGCCATCAACGTGTTAAGAAAAGGTCACCCATCAACGATTGACCTGGCTAGGATTGCCTAACTTTGCAATGTGCTAACCTACTCGGTTACCACTTAGCCACAAGCCCCTCCATCTACGCACTTCCGCGTCCACGTAGCTTAAATATAAAATACTTGCCATTGTCCGCAGTTGAAACCTTAGTCACTAGTCCGCTTCTGAGTGTCGTACCGTGATGGTACATAATCTATAAGCTAACTCAATGAATACTCCACCTAATACAAAAAGAAAAGGCTAGTGTCCACTAATAACAAATTGCTTGCTTTATAGTTTCAAATTATAAATGAAGGGACATAGATAAGAAAAAACCAGTCTATTTCTCATAAAAGTTAAAGATTATTAATATTTTTAAAAAATAAATTCATACAAAATAGGCATGTAGTCACATGACAGCGAACACCAATCAGAAAGTGTTACGTCACGCCACGCAAAACGTCATTCTTGTTGTTGACGTTTTCATACAACAGAGCAGGTTACTCCTTATTACTTTTTTTTTTAGAAAACAGTTGACACTGGACACAGATGGAACAGTTTTATTTCGCAGACTGTGACGTCATATCACGACGCCACATGACAATATTCAGCGTTTTCAAGGGTTTTTTTCTTAAATACAAAATACGTAATGTAAATATTGCTTTTTCTTCAAAATATAGGTTTTTTTTTTGATAAAATAGATATTAAAGTAAATAATTAACCAAGTTTTCAAATTGAGTCAACTAGCCTATTCTTTAAATCTGGCTCACATTTCTAGGGATTGCCTTACAAACAAACACTTTGGTATTTTATTCTCTTAATAGTGTTACATCATTATTAAGTATGCAAAAAGGTACACACATACGTGATTGCGTACATTTTTGTGTGATAGTTTTAATACTAGTTATAGAAATTATTATGTTGTAGGTAGTAGAAAAGATTTGTGGGATACAGTACCACCACGGATGGCGCAGAGAATATTTGCCGGTATGCTGAATGAAACATTAACTATCCTGACTGTTAGATATTGTCAGGTAAAGTTAATAATAGTCACGCTGTTTTAGAGATCACAAGGTCATCATACAAACATTTTGTTGCTCATTATGCTTTACCAGTTATTTAACTTTCATGTGGGGGCCAAACTCAACACGTCTGTCGAGCTTGCTATGCAGGGTGGGGAATAGGAGGGCCAGCTGTGATCTGATGCCCACTCGGTACGCCCATGATCATTTGTTGCCCGTCACAAAACTTACACTACCTACTAACTGTGTTGTGTGTACTAACAAAGGTGTTTTTCAAGAGGTATTGTCCTCCATATCAGCGTGCAATTTGAAGTGCTGTATTTTAATACCCTCGTATAGAAGGAACTACAAATAACATTCCGGGTTAGCAAAACTGTAAAGCACGCTTAGATCGCGAACCTTCCACCTGGTTTCATCATCAGACGATCGTTTCAAACCCCAATCTGCTAGAAGCAAAACAGACTCACCAAGTGATAATGTGAGCTCAAATTTGAGGGATTTACCAGTATGCTATATAATAGTGTTGATTTTCAAACTACATATATATCACATCATCATCACATCAACAGCCTTTAATAGTCCACTGCTGGACATAGGCCTCTCCTTAGAAAGAAGGTTTTGGCCTACTATACCACGCTGGCCAGACGGGTTGGTATAGGGTTTGTGTCAAGTTTTCCTTCTTTTTGCAGTGCTGGTGTCCTGCGTTGTTTTGCGCCCTTAGTCGGCTCTTACGACACCCACGGGATGAATTGGGGTAGTGACATTCCGTATTCTTAATCCGTCACTACACAGATACATATCACTAAAGATTTATAAATTTTTTACTTATTTAAAACGTGACCTTTAATTAAGTGAAGTTTTAGTATTTGCATGTTATGTTAGGTACTTTATTTTTCAATGAAATGTAGCGAAGTGTGCGTCATTAACACTCGCGCTTGCCGATTGTGTCTACAAATTTCGATTTCTTGAGACAACTTTGTGATGCTAATTACTCAATATTTTTGTACCATGTTGTTCTAAACTACAATACGGGTTTCTCATAAATTTTACTAAATATTCTTCTGTGTTAATATGGACGACCGACCTACATAAAAAGTACATTTCGATACAAGAATTAAAAAAACGTTTAAAATTAACTTAAAAAATTTGATTACATAATTAAGTAACTAGCCAAAAAATAACTATTATAAATTAATAGACGTTCAGCTTTTATTCAAATACTTCAGTTATATTATGTATTTTCAGACAAACACAACAGACTCAACAACCCGTTTACTCCTCAACGACATACTTAATATACTTCTATGTGTGGCACAACTCTTACCGTCCATATGCACCAACGGTTCTGACCTAGCTGGTCTAGATACTAAACATCAAACGAGAGATGTAAGAGATGTTCACGCTAAATGCAATGAATTGTTTAAGTGCTTTGTGTACAGAGGCGCTGAGTTGCACTTTATTCACCAAGTAAGTTACTCGTCCCTGTTGTTATTAATATTTATAAAAGAAGAAACTCACATACTCCACGCACAGCTAAGCCACTGGGTCTTTTTTTTTTTTTTTTTTTTTTTTTTTTTTTTTTTTTTTTTTTTGTTGACGGGGTGGAAAATCCCTTCGGATCTCCTGCTCCTCGGGGCTAGGAGCTAGGAGTATGTGGTGATTCCACTAAAAACCACCCCGACGGCCGGCCTCAGGTGTCCTACTCTGGGAGGACCCGGACCATGTTATTTCAGGTCCTCCCCGAATTGACACCATGCCTAGTCAGGCCCTATCCCAGGGGAAAATCACTTCCCCCCCTCAATCGCGACGTGGCGGCCCAATTTCGTCTTAATGAAATCAGGCCGCCATCCTATCCCCTACCGCAACATTCAATCAGCGACCAGAGGTCCCCACTCTCTGGCGGCCCGCGGCCCCGTCGGCGGCTGGTATGGTCGCCGACGTCCTCTACGCTCAGGATCGGCCCTCTCCCGATCCCGTTCAGCGGTCTCTTTCTGGAGCATTACAGCTTCACAGAAAGAGACCACTGCGCCCCATCCCTCCTCACCCGCCAGCATGGCAGCAATGATTGCTGGCGGGGACAGGTCTCTTCCGATTTGGCCGACCAGGACTTCGCGTTCAGACGCCCACGCGGGGCAGTCTTCCAGCGTGTGCTGGGCGGAGTCCCAGTCGGCTGCGCAGTGCTGGCATTGTGCCGTCTCCTCGCGTCCGATACGATTCAGGTACTCACCGAAGCAACCATGCCCAGTGAGTACCTGCGTCAGTCGATAGGTGACGCGACCTCCCTCCCTACCTACCCAGGCTTCGAGGTTAGGCAGAACAGCGCTGACAGCGCGTTGGCGTGCATTCTGTGGCTGTTCCAGCCGCACGCGCCACTGCACCAGTGCATGTTGGTGAGCGTTCCGCCGCATTTCGAGCGCGTCCTGGCCTTCCCCGCTCTCACCCCAGCGGATCGCGCGAGTCTGGTCATAGACCCTCGCATCCATATCCGCCAGGATATCAAAGGGCGGGAAACGTGCCAGGACTGTCGCCGCCTCCGACGAAATAGTGCGGTACCCTCGTACGATCCGAATGGCCGCTATCCGCTGCGCTTGATTGAGCTTAGCTCGGCAGCGGGAGGAGGCCGATAGGCGCTTGGCCCATATCGGCGCTCCGTAGAGGGCCATGGATCGTATCACCGCACAATAGAGGCGGCGAACTTCCTCCCGCGGACCCCCTAGGTTAGGCAACAGCCTCTGTAGGGAGCCCGCCACCCCACGAACTCGGGGGATCATCCGCTCGAAATGCTCCCCGAAGCTCCAGCGGCTGTCTAGGGTGAGGCCAAGGTATTTTATGTGTTGGCCAACCTCGACCTCTGTTCCCCCCACTCTAATAAGTGAGCGGGTGGGAACTGCACCTCTGCGTTTCCTGTGGAACCATAAGGCTTCCGTCTTATGAGGTGCAACCCTTAGTCCCAGACCGCTGATGCTTTGGACGACACAAGCCACCCCTATCTCGGCGAGCTCAAGGGCCTCCTGGAAGCCATGCCCCCCAGCCAGTACTAGAGTATCATCTGCGTAGCAGACGACGCTCAATCCTGGGGGAAGGCTGGTCCTCAGAACGGCATCATACGCGAGGTTCCACAGAAGTGGTCCTAAGACCGATCCCTGGGGAACCCCGCATGTGACTTCCCTTCGACATTCTTCGCCGTCCCGACCCATATACGATATGGATCTGTCGCGGAGATAAGCCCCGATAATGTCTCGCAGGTAGGGTGGCAACTGATGATACACCAGTGCATCCCTAATCGCCCACCACGGGAGAGAGTTAAAGGCGTTGACTATGTCAAGACTGACGGCCAACGCCACTCCCCCCCGACAGACAACCTCTTCCGACAAAGAGCGGACGCGTTCAATCGCGTCCAGCGTCGACCGTCTCTGTCGGAAGCCAAATTGGTTGTCTGATAAGTCGGGGCCCACTCGCGACAGGTGCTGGTTGATACGGGCGGCGATAACTCTTTCAAAGAGTTTCGCCACCTCGTCCAGCAAGCATATCGGTCGGAACGCCGAAGGAGAATCTGCAGCTCTGCCAGGTTTCTGGATAAGTACCAGCCTGGCTTCCTTCCAGCCGGCAGGGAATACGCTATTACGGAGGCAGCTGGTAAACAGCCGCCTCAGCCTATTCCCTAAGACCGCCAAAGCGCACCCCCAAGCTCGCCCCGGAATCCCGTCAGGGCCCGGTGCGGTGTTGCGGGCGGTGAGTCGCTTCACGGCTCGGTCTAGCTCTTCCTCTGTCACGTCGAAGTCGTCGGACCTCGCAACTGGATCCGACGGTGACGGGGGGCGTGAGGGACTACTCTGGACCCTTGGGAAGAGGGTATCTACCACTCTTCCCACAAACTCCGGGTCCAGGGTCTGCGTCAGCGGGGGGACCCACGGTCTGAGCTTGCCCAGTACAAGTTTGTAAGGGCGCCCCCATGGGTCCCTGTCCAAACCCTCTATGAGCTCCTTCCAAGACCGAGCCTTGGCTTCCGCGATCGCAAGGCTAATAGCCTTTGCGGCAGCGCCGTACTCCCGTCTCCTTTCAGCGATCTCCTCGGCTGTAGCTCGCCGTCGTCTTCGGGTTCTCTGAAACTGGCGGCGGGCTCTCGAGCACGCTGTGCGAAGTTGCTCGAGTTCCGGTGTCCACCAGTACAGAGAACCTCTCCCACCCTTCGGCCTGACCCGTGGCATCGACGCGTCACAGACGTCAGTCATGATGCCACGGAACCAGACAGCCTGCGCTTCTGGATCGGACAAGACCTGTACTTCCTCTTCCTCTGGCCAATCCGCGACGATGGCTGCGGCGATGAGCATATCTCGGTTCAACCGCTTGAGGGCCCATCGTCGCGGAGGGCAGCTACTGCGGCGGTCCGCGCCTGCGCCCGGGTGGCGAATGGCCACATTGAACACGATGTGGCGGTGGTCCGATAAAGTGACCACCTCTTCCGCGACCCTCCATCCTGACACCCGGTCGATGACCGAGGGAGTCGCCCATGTCAAGTCGACGATTGACTCCCCCTGCCACCGCACGCAAGTGCTGACCGAACCCCGATTCAGAATGCCGAGGTTCAGTCCCGCCGCCCACTCGATGAGTGTATCTCCTCTTACGTTGTCTAGGCGATCACCCCACTGTGTGGAGCGGGCGTTGAAATCGCCCAAGACAAGTACTGGACGAGACAGGAAAGAGCAGATGCAACTCCTAAGTCCGTCCAAGTACGCCTCGAACACGGGGAGGCCGCAATTCGGAGATATGTAGCAGCCCACAATGACCATGGGGCCCCACTCTACTGCCACAAACCCCAACCCTCTCTGAATAAGGGTGCAGTGGAGGCCGTCTCCACCCCTGCCCAGTATATGGCGGCGGTGCCGTCATCCGAACCAAACCACCGGGGGTGATCCGGGACGTAGTACGGCTCCGCCACCACCGCTAGGGCAACCGACTGCTCCGCCAGCGTCTGCATAAGCAGGTCTTGTGCTGCGCGGCAGTGGTTTAGGTTGCCCTGCAAAACTTTCTGGGGAGGCGCGAATGTTAGGCCTCCATTGCCTCCTCTGCCGGACGGGTATCCGGCTGTGACGGTCTTGTGCTCGTCAAGGCTTGGGCAGGAGCCCTTTTGTTTTTCTTCGGCGGAGAGCACTTCTTGCTTCCCAGCCGATGATCCGCGGGTCGGCCAAGGTCTGAGCAGACCGGGCACCTCGGTGCTATTGCGGTGCATGTGCGCGCTATGTGGCCTGTGCCACCGCACGCGTAGCACCGCGCGCCACGGTCTGTCTCATTGGGACACTTAGCTCTCACGTGTCCCATTTCGAGGCACCGATAGCACTGCAGCGGACGAGGTGCTAGTGCCTCTATCCTGGCCGAAACCCATCCCACCTGCACCCGTTTGGCGTTCGCAATTTTGCGGACCGCCGCAAGTGGGCAACGGACCCAGGCCGTGCCTAGCCGCGACGGGGAGGCACGGATGTCTCCGACTTTGACGTCGGAGATGGGACATCCCCCCGCCGTTGCTATCGCCTTGGCAACTTCGGCTTGGGTGATAGACTCCTCCAAGTCCAACACCCGTAAGTCTCCTGTCTTGCACGGACGCGCAATAATAGCGTCCGTGCTGGACAGTACCTCCCGCAGGCGTGCTGCCAACTTGTCCGCTAAGGCGGCGCTACCTTCGCCGGGTACCTGTAGGATAAGGGCTCCGGTCATGGCTCGTTTGGTGCGGAGCCCGCCTGGGATGCCAAGATCACCCAGGTTTATATTGGCCTTTGCGACCTCCATCAGCCTAGCTATCGACGTCTCCGAGCCAGGAGGCACGGAGAGAGTGACAGCCGCGGCTGTGGGAGGCCTTGGCACAGCCCTTTTTTTAAGATGCGACGCCGGAGGGGCAGCAGTACGCCCCGCCGGGTGGGTCGTGGCTGCCGCCTTTTTCGCGGCCTTAGCTTTGCTCTTTCGGCCAAGGGCTAAGGCCCAGGTCTCCCCCACCGTCGGAGCCGCAGATTGTTGCTGCCTCATTGCCGCAGAGGGAAGCGGTACCAGTGTCTCCTGGGTAGCCGGCTGTCTCCTCTTCCTTCTTCCCTTTTTTTTATTTTTGGGAGGTGTAACGCCGTTGGCACCCGCCGCCCCCCTACTGGCTATGGTTGGGGGAGACATGGTGTTCCCTCCTGGGTACTGCTCTCCTAACATCTTTGCCCGAACCTCGGCCAATACACGGTCTAGTGTGGCCCTGTATTGGTCTCGGTCCGGAACTGGGCTTGTCTCGGGCTGAGTCACTGGACCTCTGCGTTTGTTCGGAGTCCTGGCACTGCCGATCTCCTTTCCGGTTCCCGCAGGGGGTATTTCGATAGCCTTTGGACCCCCACGGCGGAGTTTTCCTATCTCCTTCTGTAGGGAGGCCATTTGGGAGCGGAGTGCCTCGTTCTCCTGCTCTAACCTCCCTACTGCGTTTGTCAGGACTGATGTGT